ATGTTTATTGAGTTTGATCATTTAAAATACACTGTTTTAATGCATTAAGCCACGTTAAGTGTTTTTCTCGTTAAGCGTTTAATAATTTCGCATTCAGAGACCACAACACTAGCGAAGAAATCATCAATCAACACTTGGCTTCGTTTTCACTTTATATTCACGCCTGAAGATCATCAGAATCCAGTTTTTATGCTGAAAAAGCTTTTGTGGGTACGTTTTAGCAGATCTGATACCAAAAAAAAAAAACGTTAGTTTTTCTATAAATGTGTCACTTTTGAAACGTTAGCTCTTCACTTGTGAAAATTCACCATGTTTTTTTTTTACTACAAATAAAACCAAAAAATCATGGTTGCTGTAGTTAAATCATGGTAACCACATATTAACCATGGTCTTGCTACACTAACCACAGTTTAACCACGGTATTTGTAGTAAAACTGTGGTTATACAAATGGTAGTCAATGCACCAAAAAATATGGTTGCTACACTTTTACTGCAATAAAACCAGGGTTATTTTTAGCTGTGGATGTTTAAAGCTTTATATATATATATATACACTACCAGTCAAAAGTTTTTGAACGGTAAGATTTTTAATGTTTGATCTTCTGCTCACCAAGCCTGCATTTATTTGATCCAAAGTACAGCAAAAGCAGTAAAATTGTGAAATATTTTTACTATTTAGAATAACTGTTGTCTATGTGAATATCTGTTAAACTGTAATGTATTTCTGTGATGCGCAGCTGTATTTTCAGCATCATTCCTCCAGTCTTCAGTGTCACATGATCTTCAGAAATCAGTATAATATGCTGATCTGCTGCTCTAGAAACATTTCTGATTATTATCAATGTTGAAAACAGCGGAGTATAATTTTTTCAGGTTTCTCTGATGAATAGAAAGTTATAGCATATTAGAATGATTTCTGAAGGACACTGAAGACTGGAGTAATGATGCTGAAAATCACAGAAATAAATTACATCTTAAAACATACTCCAATACAAAGCAGTTGTTATGAATAGTAAAAATATGTCACAATATTACAGTTTTTGCTGTATTTCTGATCAAATAAATGCAAGCTTGGTGAGCAGAAGAGACTTCTGTAAAAAACGTACTGTTCAAAAACATTTGAGTGCTAGTGTATACACTGTTTTGTGCCTTATAATATCATTTTCAGGGCTAGAAAGCCTCACGTTTGTCCATCAGCAGCTTATTTTTGATTATTATGACAAGTTATGGGTGCCTCCCCATAGATGCTAGTATGTTTGAAGCGTTTCTGAGCTTTCACGGCTGTATTTGTTTATGAACCTTTGTTAATGTTTGGTACGATCAGTCGATTCGGTCTCATCATCTGTAGTTTTATGTGTTGCATGCAAACCTTTCATTTCAATAGTAGCTTCTTGGAAAAGACTCTCCTGGTTTGTTTTGTTTAGTTTTTTTCTCGTCTTGCATGCAGTGCATCATTTAATATTTTTATATTGATATTTAACCGTCTTTAATTGTATCTGCAGAGCTGTTTTTGTAACGTGTGTGTGTTTGTATCTTCAGTATCTTTTCTTCTTGTCCAAAAAGTGCATTTATAGTTTATAATTATATGCAATAAAAATGTTACGTGCTTTTTAAATCACTTTTTTAATTATTAAACATCTTTGGAGGTAAGTTAACAAAGTTGCGTCACTTTACCAATCAAATGTTTGGAGTAATTATGATTTTATTAATGTTTCTTGAGCAGCAAATCAGCATATTAGAATGATTTCTGAAGACTGGAGTAATGATGCTGAAAATACAGCTTTGATCACAGAAATTAATTACAGTTTAAAACATATTCACATAGAAAACAGCTGTTTTACATTAGAATAATATTTCACAATTTTATAGGTTTTATTGTATTTTTGATCCAAGAAATGCAGCCTTGGTGAGCAGAAAAACACTTGAAAAGCTAAATTATTCCAAACTTTTGTGCAGATGCTTTTATTGAAAACCACTTACAAATTATATAAAACAAAGCAAACGCTTCAAAGGTGTTTTATAAATGATATTTACACTATTTTCTATCCATCACTTTGACACTAGATGGCGCCGAGAGACAGAAAATCCTCGCTAAAATGAATTCTAAAATAATGCATCTGATCTTCGATAATCCAAAGCCCTGAAAAAGTGACTGGTTTTTTGATTAATTGGTTATTGGTTAAGCAAATATTGTTTTATCCAAAGCCAAATGCAGTGCAGTAATGGCAAGAACTTGCTCAAGGACACAGCGGTGAAAAGATCTCAAGTACTTTTAAGTTCATTGAACCAGTGACGTGGATGAAATGAGTCAAAATTCGAACGAATCAATATGAAATGTCTATCTATATGAATATGTAATGAGGTGCTGAATATGAATGAGGTGTATTATCGTCCAGTCAGTGTTTCTAGTTCCAATGGTTGAATCCATCAGTCATTGGTCGGGACTGGGAGGGGCGGGGCCGTTCAGCCGATCTAACTCGTCGACCTGCGGAGTGGGTGTGGCCCCGACCCGCATAGGCCCCTCCCCCATGGCTGTGATGAGGTTCGGGACGCTCCTGCTGCGGACGCACTGGAAGTCCACGTGTCTGCTCTTCCCTTCCTCTTTCTCCCAGGACAGCTGGATGAAGGGACGCTGGACGTAGCTGTAGATGACCTCGGACTTGCCACCTGGACGCCGCTTCACCTTCTCCTTACAGGTGGGGTATCCTGAGACGCACAAAGGTGTCAGGAAGTAAAACCTCATTCAGTTTGTCCGTTCTAATGAACCTTTACAGACTTGTTTGTTGGGGTTGTTAATCAGTGCTTTATGCTTTAATTAAAGCCATCATTTCACATTTTTCACAGCTTGTTTTTTAAATAATCATGTTTAACGGCAGATTTGGTGGTGAAAACTACATTACCCATGATGCTGTGCAGAAAATTCCACCAATTAGAAAGCTGCGGCCAGCAAATTGCAATAGCTCTTAAGCTCCGCCCACTCCTACGAAGCTCTCGAAATACTTAAATATATGTACATATTTTGCGATAAACTTAAAATATATTGTTTCTCTAGTTATAATCAACAACTTTACATGATTACATTTATCATTGTTTTAATTCAGTTGTGTTGTTCGCAACGCTTCACGGGATTGTAGTTCTTTCCCTCGTTAAAGTCATTAAGTTTAAAGTCGTGTACCTTTGTCTTTTGCGGAAGCTTTCAGCCTGCATGACTTCAACTTAATTTTTAAGATAATCGTGTTTAACAGCGGAATTGGTGGTGAAAAACTACATTACCCATGATGCTGTGCAGAAATTCCACCAATTAGGTCAAAAGAGCCCCTTAGCTCCGCCCACTCACATGATGCACCACAAATCTAATGTAATGATGTAAAGTTCTCAAAATACTTAAATATGTGCATGAATGTATGGATATGTTACAATAAAATATATTGTTTCTCTAGATATAATCAACTTTAAATTAATAGTTTTAAATTTGCAATTCGCGTTGCTTCAAGGGATTGTAGTTCTTTCAGGTTAACAAGTGTCTTTGCCTTTTGTCCAATTTCCAAGTACTTTTTTGGACGGCACTTCACAAGCTTTTCACTATTTAATTTGAGAAAAACTACCGTCAAATACACACTGAAACAAAGATCTTCACAACTAACGGTCAAAATAAAAGATCGGTTTAACTTGAAGAAATTATGACACAAATATATTGCTATTGTATATTAAAAAAACATGCACTCTGTAAGGTTTTGTGGTGCGTTTGAATGTATCGTATCGATGTTCGAATCTGTGTGCGTTTACCCTCGATCCCGATGCGAATGTTTTTCAGGCCTCGCTCCTTCAGCAGAGCTTTCGCGACGTCTCTGTTCTCGATGAACTTGAAGAAACGGTAGAGTTTGGTGCTGTAGAGGACTTGAGAATCAAGAAAGCATATTTTATTGTTGATATTTAGATGTTTTGACGCCATCGCTATGTCCGAATATGTCTACTACTACACTATATAGTAGTACGTCTGATTTCGTAATATTCGAAAAACAGTAGGAGAAAAGTAAAAGGATAGTCATGTGACAGTAACACAATACCGTATGTAGCAAATCTAAATTACACATACTTTTTTTTAATGGCTTTAAAACCAAATATGTGACCCTGGAGCACAAAACCAGTCATAAGAGTCAATTTTGTGAAACTGAGATGTATCTCATTCAGTTTGTCCGTTCTAATGAACCTTTACAGACTTGTTTGTTGGGGTTGTTAATCAGTGCTTTATGCTTTAGTTAAAGCCATCATTTCACATTTTTCACAGCTTGTTTTTTAAATAATCATGTTTAACGGCAGATTTGGTGGTGGAAAACTACATTACCCATGATGCTGTGCAGAAAATTCCACCAATTAGAAAGCTGCGGCCAGCAAATTGCAGCTCTTAAGCTCCGCCCACTCCCATGAAGCTCTCGAAATACTTAAATATATGTATATATTTATGCATATTTTGCGATAAACTTAAAATATATTGTTTCTCTAGTTATAATCAACAACTTTACATGATTATATTTATCATTGTTTTAATTCAGTTGTGTTGTTCGCAACGCTTCACGGGATTGTAGTTCTTTCCCTCGTTAAAGTCATTAAGTTTCTGAGATGTATGCATCAACTAAAAGCTGAATAAATGAGCTTTCCATTGATGTATGGTTTGTTAGGATAGAACAATATCTGAAAATCTGGAATCTGAGGGTGCAAAAAAATCTAAATATTGAGAAAATCATCTTTAAAGTTGTCCAAATGAAGTTCTTAGCAATGCATATTACTAATCAATCATTAAGTTTTAATATATTTACGGTGTGAAATTTACAAAATATCTTCATGGAACATGATCTTAATATCCTAATGATTTTTGGCATACAAGAAAATTGATAATTGTGACCCATACGATGTATTGTTGGCTATTGCTACAAATATCCCCCAGCGACTTAACACTGCTTTTGTGCTCCAGAGTCACGTATAGTACCTACTAGACAATTTCAGACACAGCTTGCATCTAGATTTTTCAAGTTTGCATTCGCAGTTCTTTGCGCTAATAAAAGTGCGCTCACTTTGCGAGTTTTCCTCTCCCATCGGCGGAGGGTTGTCGTGATCCCAGTCTACGTTATCGTCGTCCGTGAGGACCACGATGTGGCACTCTCGTTCTCCTTCCTGAGCGCTCGCAACCATTGCCGGGACCAACAGCTCCTCCAGGAACGCCTCGAACTGCCCCCGAGCGCCGTCATTGGACAGCTCGTGCAGGAGAGCACCTGATTGGACCGAAACGATAATGAGTTTGAGCGTGCGTTGAGTTATTTATGGTGCATGTATGTGTGTTTTTGACTCACTGAGGTCTCGGCATCTGACGGTGCTGTAGTCGAAGTTTATACACAGATAATCGCACGCTTCGCGCAGTTCCGCCAACGACAAGCCCTCCGGACAGTGCAGCACGCCGACACGGTAATAATCCTGGACGAGAGATGACTTTGCGTTAAGTTTGCGTAGAATCAAACCGGCAGTGAACTGGAGGGAATTTGCGATCATACGTACCAGGATTACTCTGAAGATGTTGGCTCCGATGCCTTCTGCGATTTCATATTCACCTTTAGCGTTTGGTCGCGTGAAACTGTGCTGACGCGCTCGACCGAACATTCTGAGGAGACACACCTCGTTAGGTACGGTTTAAAGAATAATTCGGCCAAAAATGACAATTTGCTGAAAATGTAGCTACCCGCAGACCAATCCGAGATGAGGATGAGTTTGTTTCTTCATCAGGTTTGGAGAAATGTTGCATTGCATCAGTGTTTCACAGCAAGTGAATGGGTGCCATCAGAACGAGAGCTGATAAAAACATCACAATAATCCACAGCACTCCAGTCCATCAGTTAACATCTGGAGAAGACAAAAGCTGAGACAAATCCAGCATTAAGACGTTTTTAACTCAAATACATAGAGTCCATAATCCATAATAACTCTTCCTCCAGTGAGAAAGTGTTCTGGTCTGAATCAGGAGAGAAATCTGCACAGATCAAGCAGCGTTTAAACTGTAAACTTTAAAGCTTTTGTCTTCTCCAGATGATAACTGATGGACTGGAGTGCTGTGGATTATTGTGAGGTTTTTATCAGCTCTCGTTCTGACGGCACCCATTCACTTGCAGTGAGACACTGATGCAATGCTACATTTCTGCAGATCTGATGAAGAAACAAACTCTTAAATCCTGATCTCGGACGGCCTGCGGGTGAATGTTCTGTTTTGTCTGAACTGTTGCGTTCAGTACCTCCCAAGCACTGTATCCGGGTAAGCTGTGAATACCGCAGGATCCACCACAAAATGAGTCCCGTCCACTACTAGTGTGACCCGGTCATGTGATAAAGGGCGTGGTTGTGCAGGCCACGCCTCCTTTGTGACATCAGCCCCGCCCTCTGCTCCAGCAGTCACCCTGCGGGCTGTAAATCGAGACGTTAAATCGCTTTTTGAGATTGTAGAAATCAGTTTTTCAGTTCTGGAAGTGGTGTTTTTGGGTGTACCTGATTGGGACAGGCATGCACCACCTGTCGCGTGCTCCTCCGTCATGATCTTCTGGACGCCTGCAGACCGTTAAGACAGTCCATATGGTGAACAACATAATATTTTAAACTCCTTAAGCTCTGTCTGACTGACTCATGGGTCCAGCTTAACCCCACAGACACCCGGTAACCCTTTCCAAACCGGCTACAAACATGTTTATGCACAGCAAATGTGATTTAAATAATGGGCTAATGAATAAATGATGTTATTTAAAGACGAGTAAACGGTAATAAATGATCATGGTCATCAATACTATCACGGTATTGGTAAAACGTGTTGGAAATGTTCAAGTACTCATGCACACAAATTAAATCATGAGTTTTATGTCGAAAAACCAACACGCAACATAAAATTAGCAGCACTTCTTGTTTGCATGAACATTACATTTACATTTAGTCATTTAGGATTAGAAAAAGAATAGAGAATGCTAGAGTCAGAGTGTCGGGTGCGAGTGTTACAAGATCAAGTTTTTAAAATAAATAAATAAAAAGATAACGAGTAGATAGAGAGTGCTAGTAGAGGGTCAAGTATAGATGTGTTTTTAGCCATTTCTTGAAGATGAAAATACGCTGTTAAATATCTTAGTTTTTAATTAAACTTAATCAAACTGCTAACCAGCTCGACACCATAGTACACTAATAGCATCTTATTGAATACCATAGTACTTTGCTATATTTAACAGCACCGAATACCATATTCTTGAATTCTAAAGTGTTTTATTAAATTACTTTGGTGCATAGTAATCACAATATACTTTACCACTCAACTTTTATTTTTTAGTGTGGTGCAAGGGAATAAATAAACAGACTTGTTGAATTCATTGCTAATAAACATGCAGATAACCAGTGATAAATTATAAATAATATAAAGTCCCTGATAGCACATGCACATCACGGAAACGTCTATTTGACGTCTGCAAGACGTATTTTTTAGAGCGTTTGCTCATATGCAATATGTCTACAGCACGTCTCCCATCAGACGTCAAATAGACGTTTAGAAGATGATTTAACTGACATCGTACACGGACATCTATCAGATGTTTGTACACAGCAGATGCTTTCCAGATGAAGCTTAAAGTGGTTAAACTGTGGTTAGTGTAGCAAGACCATGGTTCATTTGTGGTTACCAAGGTTTAACTATAGTAACCATGATGTTTTGGTTTTATTTGTAGTAAACCCTGCTGAAAAAACCAAAACAATACACACCATCACAAAATTTGTAATGGGTTTACTGGTTATATTTTGGTTTTAATGGAAACTGTAATGGACCCTGTGGTAGTAGGTCACCTTCTATTGGTGGCTTGTTGAAAACAATCAATCCTAATGAAATATGTCCCAAAATACACTACATTAAACCATTTTTTAAATAGTTTTAATGGTTAAAAGTTGATGGTTTGTATTGGAAACCATTAGAATTTTTCTGTTCTATTGGTTTTTTTTCCAGCAGGGAAACCATGGTTAATTTTCTTAAGGGTTAACCTTTTATATATACATTTCTATTTTCATTAAGCTATATAATAGTTGTTAGTTACTCACCGGAGAGTCTGCGTTCAAAACATTGAGGATCCTCCTGCTCGAAGACACCAGAGACTGTGTGCGGATTAACCGACGGTTAATCCGACGGTTAATCACGTGACGCGCAGGGCGGGAAGCCCTGAGCTGATCTGATCTCTGAGGGCTGACATACAACAGCGGTTTAAACGAGTCGAAGTTGACGGGTTCGTTTAAAAGTGGGTCACGAAGACATATAAACGCTCGGGCTACACGCAAGTGCTAGTCTCTGTGTTCGTATCGTTTAAGCTGCATTTATTTGTCCTTTCGCGACGCGAAATATAACTTGCCGCAAGACGCTTGTCTTGCAAATGATATTAAGACAACACAAACTGTTAAAATAACTTAATCTTTAATAATAAGTAAATGCACGACGCCATGGCAAACAGGTAAGTTGACCGTTTTGTATTAAACAATATTCGTGTCATAATGTCGAGAAATGCTATATTCACGTCAAGTTTAATCACGGTTTTAAATCCAAAGCATTGCAAAATCACCTTAGAAGAGTCACTTTTCAGAAATGTTTTGTTGGAAAATATGTTGTAAATTAAGTGTAGGCTATATTTGATTTATTATTATGTATATATAGGGGAGCGCGGGGCACAACGTAACACTTTTTGACTTTCTCAGTTTGTGTAAATACAAATGTCTAGTACAAATGTCACTTTGTTTCATAATTACAGCGTATACGTTTTTCTTTATTTACGCTCTCAAATTGGTGAAATGTGACAACATGCCCCGTAGGTGGGGTGCATCGTAACATCTGAGGGGCACGTTGTAACATGACCATATGACACCTTCAAATGTTATCTGATTGCATTAAAAAATATACAAGACGAACTAAAATATTTTGTCAATAAAATAAAATGAACGCATTGCAACCATGTTTGGGACGGCCCGCAAAAATGCTTTACATGTCTTAAAATAATAACTAATAAACATTGACGTTCATTCTTTATTCACCTGTTTCTCATTCAAATTCATTAAATAGTGTGAATTACATCAGTAATATTTAATAGTTTAATAATAGCGGGGCACATTGTAACACAGTGCTACAACGTTTCCCATCTGCGCCACTGGAATTAGTGTCTTCTGCTAGTTATCAAAGCATTAAAAAACCATCTAAACTGATAAATAACAGACTGGAGATTAAAATAGTAGCAGATTTGTCTCGTATTAAATTAATGATAAAAACGGAGACGAAAAATGTACTTGGACCACAATTTAAATTTTACTGTGGTAAAATAGATGTTCAGCGATATCTTCAAAAGATTTTAGAATTTTGGCGCACTTTTTTCTCTATATAGTGTTGATATGGTAACTAATTATATTTATATATTTCCAACCCATTTAAAAAAGAATTCTTCTGCAGTTCTGGCTCATGAAACAGTCCTCACAGTTATATCAGAGTGCCGATGATGACCGGTTAATGTCTTCTCTCTGGCTTGGCCTTAATTACTAGGGCTGGGTTTTGACACAAATTTCATGATTCGATTCGATTCGCATTCAATATCAGTACAGTACATGCCAAATTTTCAAAGAAAAAATCTCTCAACTAATGCTGTAAAATATACATTACAGAAGGTTAAAATGTACTGATTTGTTAAAGTTGCACTTAATGAAGTTTTTAAAATAATAGTTACAATTACATCATAATATTTCTACTTCGATTCTTTTTTTTTTTATTTTTAAATATAAACATAATGGTGGCTGTCATAACTTGATTTATTCAAACATTGAAGAACAGTAAAATTTATAATGAATATGTTATATGGTGGATATTTAGATTATTACAGTTGGAGAAATGTTGCATTGCATCAGTGTTTCACAGCAAGTGAATGGGTGCCATCAGAACGAGAGCTGATAAAAACATCACAATAATCCACAGCACTCCAGTCCATCAGTTAACATCTGGAGAAGACAAAAGCTGAGACAAATCCAGCATTAAGACGTTTTTAACTCAAATACATAGAGTCCATAATCCATAATAACTCTTCCTCCAGTGAGAAAGTGTTCTGGTCTGAATCAGGAGAGAAATCTGCACAGATCAAGCAGCGTTTAAACTGTAAACTTTAAAGCTTTTGTCTTCTCCAGATGATAACTGATGGACTGGAGTGCTGTGGATTATTGTGAGGTTTTTATCAGCTCTCGTTCTGACGGCACCCATTCACTTGCAGTGAGACACTGATGCAATGCTACATTTCTGCAGATCTGATGAAGAAACAAACTCTTAAATCCTGATCTCGGACGGCCTGCGGGTGAATGTTCTGTTTTGTCTGAACTGTTGCGTTCAGTACCTCCCAAGCACTGTATCCGGGTAAGCTGTGAATACCGCAGGATCCACCACAAAATGAGTCCCGTCCACTACTAGTGTGACCCGGTCATGTGATAAAGGGCGTGGTTGTGCAGGCCACGCCTCCTTTGTGACATCAGCCCCGCCCTCTGCTCCAGCAGTCACCCTGCGGGCTGTAAATCGAGACGTTAAATCGCTTTTTGAGATTGTAGAAATCAGTTTTTCAGTTCTGGAAGTGGTGTTTTTGGGTGTACCTGATTGGGACAGGCATGCACCACCTGTCGCGTGCTCCTCCGTCATGATCTTCTGGACGCCTGCAGACCGTTAAGACAGTCCATATGGTGAACAACATAATATTTTAAACTCCTTAAGCTCTGTCTGACTGACTCATGGGTCCAGCTTAACCCCACAGACACCCGGTAACCCTTTCCAAACCGGCTACAAACATGTTTATGCACAGCAAATGTGATTTAAATAATGGGCTAATGAATAAATGATGTTATTTAAAGACGAGTAAACGGTAATAAATGATCATGGTCATCAATACTATCACGGTATTGGTAAAACGTGTTGGAAATGTTCAAGTACTCATGCACACAAATTAAATCATGAGTTTTATGTCGAAAAACCAACACGCAACATAAAATTAGCAGCACTTCTTGTTTGCATGAACATTACATTTACATTTAGTCATTTAGGATTAGAAAAAGAATAGAGAATGCTAGAGTCAGAGTGTCGGGTGCGAGTGTTAAAAGATCAAGTTTTTTAAAATAAATAAATAAAAAGATAACGAGTAGATAGAGAGTGCTAGTAGAGGGTCAAGTATAGATGTGTTTTTAGCCATTTCTTGAAGATGAAAATACGCTGTTAAATATCTGTAAGTTTTTAATTAAACTTAATCAAACTGCTAACCAGCTCGACACCATAGTACAAAGATCAAGTTTTTTAAAATAAATAAATAAAAAGATAACGAGTAGATAGAGAGTGCTAGTAGAGGGTCAAGTATAGATGTGTTTTTAGCCATTTCTTGAAGATGAAAATACGCTGTTAAATATCTGTAAGTTTTTAATTAAACTTAATCAAACTGCTAACCAGCTCGACACCATAGTACACTAATAGCATCTTATTGAATACCATAGTACTTTGCTATATTTAACAGCACCGAATACCATATTCTTGAATTCTAAAGTGTTTTATTAAATTACTTTGGTGCATAGTAATCACAATATACTTTACCACTCAACTTTTATTTTTTAGTGTGGTGCAAGGGAATAAATAAACAGACTTGTTGAATTCATTGCTAATAAACATGCAGATAACCAGTGATAAATTATAAATAATATAAAGTCCCTGATAGCACATGCACATCACGGAAACGTCTATTTGACGTCTGCAAGACGTATTTTTTAGAGCGTTTGCTCATATGCAATATGTCTACAGCACGTCTCCCATCAGACGTCAAATAGACGTTTAGAAGATGATTTAACTGACATCGTACACGGACATCTATCAGATGTTTGTACACAGCAGATGCTTTCCAGATGAAGCTTAAAGTGGTTAAACTGTGGTTAGTGTAGCAAGACCATGGTTCATTTGTGGTTACCAAGGTTTAACTATAGTAACCATGATGTTTTGGTTTTATTTGTAGTAAACCCTGCTGAAAAAACCAAAACAATACACACCATCACAAAATTTGTAATGGGTTTACTGGTTATATTTTGGTTTTAATGGAAACTGTAATGGACCCTGTGGTAGTAGGTCACCTTCTATTGGTGGCTTGTTGAAAACAATCAATCCTAATGAAATATGTCCCAAAATACACTACATTAAACCATTTTTTAAATAGTTTTAATGGTTAAAAGTTGATGGTTTGTATTGGAAACCATTAGAATTTTTCTGTTCTATTGGGTTTTTTTCCAGCAGGGAAACCATGGTTAATTTTCTTAAGGGTTAACCTTTTATATATACATTTCTATTTTCATTAAGCTATATAATAGTTGTTAGTTACTCACCGGAGAGTCTGCGTTCAAAACATTGAGGATCCTCCTGCTCGAAGACACCAGAGACTGTGTGCGGATTAACCGACGGTTAATCCGACGGTTAATCACGTGACGCGCAGGGCGGGAAGCCCTGAGCTGATCTGATCTCTGAGGGCTGACATACAACAGCGGTTTAAACGAGTCGAAGTTGACGGGTTCGTTTAAAAGTGGGTCACGAAGACATATAAACGCTCGGGCTACACGCAAGTGCTAGTCTCTGTGTTCGTATCGTTTAAGCTGCATTTATTTGTCCTTTCGCGACGCGAAATATAACTTGCCGCAAGACGCTTGTCTTGCAAATGATATTAAGACAACACAAACTGTTAAAATAACTTAATCTTTAATAATAAGTAAATGCACGACGCCATGGCAAACAGGTAAGTTGACCGTTTTGTATTAAACAATATTCGTGTCATAATGTCGAGAAATGCTATATTCACGTCAAGTTTAATCACGGTTTTAAATCCAAAGCATTGCAAAATCACCTTAGAAGAGTCACTTTTCAGAAATGTTTTGTCGGAAAATATGTTGTAAATTAAGTGTAGGCTATATTTGATTTATTATTATGTATATATAGGGGAGCGCGGGGCACAACGTAACACTTTTTGACTTTCTCAGTTTGTGTAAATACAAATGTCTAGTACAAATGTCACTTTGTTTCATAATTACAGCGTATACGTTTTTCTTTATTTACGCTCTCAAATTGGTGAAATGTGACAACATGCCCCGTAGGTGGGGTGCATCGTAACATCTGAGGGGCACGTTGTAACATGACCATATGACACCTTCAAATGTTATCTGATTGCATTAAAAAATATACAAGACGAACTAAAATATTTTGTCAATAAAATAAAATGAACGCATTGCAACCATGTTTGGGACGGCCCGCAAAAATGCTTTACATGTCTTAAAATAATAACTAATAAACATTGACGTTCATTCTTTATTCACCTGTTTCTCATTCAAATTCATTAAATAGTGTGAATTACATCAGTAATATTTAATAGTTTAATAATAGCGGGGCACATTGTAACACAGTGCTACAACGTTTCCCATCTGCGCCACTGGAATTAGTGTCTTCTGCTAGTTATCAAAGCATTAAAAAACCATCTAAACTGATAAATAACAGACTGGAGATTAAAATAGTAGCAGATTTGTCTCGTATTAAATTAATGATAAAAACGGAAAAGAAAAATGTACTTGGACCACAATTTAAATTTTACTGTGGTAAAATAGATGTTCAGCGATATCTTCAAAAGATTTTAGAATTTTGGCGCACTTTTTTCTCTATATAGTGTTGATATGGTAACTAATTATATTTATATATTTCCAACCCATTTAAAAAAGAATTCTTCTGCAGTTCTGGCTCATGAAACAGTCCTCACAGTTATATCAGAGTGCCGATGATGACCGGTTAATGTCTTCTCTCTGGCTTGGCCTTAATTACTAGGGCTGGGTTTTGACACAAATTTCATGATTCGATTCGATTCGCATTCAATATCAGTACAGTACATGCCAAATTTTCAAAGAAAAAATCTCTCAACTAATGCTGTAAAATATACATTACAGAAGGTTAAAATGTACTGATTTGTTAAAGTTGCACTTAATGAAGTTTTTAAAATAATAGTTACAATTACATCATAATATTTCTACTTCGATTCTTTTTTTTTTTAAATGATTTTCGTCCACGAAATTGAGCCAAAACAGTCAAAATTGTGTCTAAAATGTAAGTCTCTTAATTTTAACTTCTTATCGAACTACTGTTGTATAAAATCAGTGGCACAATGCAATCGTGCTGATATTCAGGGAAACATCTTGGTCGTGTAATTCTTACCCAAATCATATATTATAAATATCATTTTTTACAGCATAATTTATCTGTAACTTGTAACTGTTTTGGCTTCTGCATGAGTCTCTCATCCTAATGACCCAGTGGAGCATCAGACCTGGAATGATTTGATGAAGGTCCACAGCAGGTTGCGAATGCCCTCAAAACGGTTGAGCAGTTTCACCAGACGCATGACACGGAAAAGCCGGAAGAGTGTGATTGACACGCTCATATTCTCAGACACAAGTCATTGGTGTTTGGTGATGAGTTTTTGGCTCAACGTCTGCATTTAAAGTCACAGCAGACCAGTCAAGTTTTTCCACACTGACTCAATCAATCATTTCTTTTTGAACCTTATAAACAGAGGCACTGTCATGTTAGAATAGAAAAGGCTCCTGCCCAAACTATTATTGCTATCAAATTAGAAGCACACAATTCCCTAGAATATAAGGTAACGCTTTAGAATACTGTTCCACCATTAATGAATAACTACACAAGAACACACGAGTGACGCAATATTAGCACTCTAGTAACTACTAGTATCTAATAAGAAACTCTGATTAATGAATTAGTAAGTGTTTAGTGGAATGTGGTAGTGTGTGTATTTATCGGGATCGCGTGCCGTCGGTGTTGTCTTTATGTGTGCGCTTCGGATGAGAGTCAGCGCGAGAAGCAAGCGGAGAAAAGGTACTCCTCTCGGAAAACATACAAATAAAGATCACTTTTAATGTTTAATTGCTATTTGGAGCATTGGGATCGCTAGAATAAAGCAATAAGCTGTTATAAATTCACTGTAAACCACGGCTTCACGGGGCTTATTGCTTTTATAAAACGGTTATATACGTAGTTAGGTTTCACAAAATAAAACGGAGCAAATAAAGTGTAATGATATTAATAAACACAGTATTCTTCCACCAAACAATGTAGCTCCTCAGAAACAGTTGTGGTTGCTACAAAGTGGTTGCCGAGCAACACACAAACGTAAACAAAGGTGTGTGTTACTTTGTTGCGTCATTTACAACAGCTTCGAACGCGGCTCAGCCAATCAGAGTCAAGCACCGGAACTCTTCGCTTTATAAGAGGGACTAATGAACACATTTTTGCGAAAACCTCAAAATCGACGTTTTTCGCTTATTTTGCCTATAGCTCAAAATTAGCCTGTGCGCATTCACACTCATTTTGCCAGCACTGGTCACAGGTTTGAAAGGGAGTTGTTCATTATAAACCCACTCTGGCCAGCCTTCGAATGTTGACACGGTGAAGAGAGCCAGCATGCCGTTCAAAACGCTGTCGAAGTTTAAGTCACTGTTCATCCATATACGTTGACTGAGCACCATGTCGTGGAGAGCGTGTTCCTGGTGTTGTATAAACCTTCCCCTGAGAGCACCACCGGGAGAGAAAATTATGTAGATTTGGAGAGTTCAGAGATCTCAGAGTGAAGAATGAAAGTTCAAGCATACCGGCATTCTTCCGCCGTCATTTTGAGCGGGTCTGTGCAGAAAAAAAATTTCCCCTGCCGGATTAACAGAAAAAAAACCACATCAAATTAAACCAGACTCTAATATCATACATGCATAGATGCTGAAGAGCGAACTATCTGACCTTAAAAAGCTGAACGCCAATGCAGGCAAACATGAAATCCAAGAGCATCGTGACTAAAACGATGTTGCCGATGGTCTTGATGGCCACAAACACACACTGGACCACATGCTAAAACACAGCAAAGACCTGATGAGGAACAGGGAGACATTTATCATGTAATAATCCCGAAACTAGACGCTCTGGGACGACTCACTTTGAGACCTTTAGCTCGATTTATGGCTCTTAAAGGTCTCAACACTCTCAAGACCCTGAGGATTTTTACCACCGAGATGGCGCTTGATCTGCGGAGAGACATGAGGACTGTAAAAGAACACTTGTCGTTTTCCAAAGCACCCTGTTTGTGGAAAAATGCTGAAGTGTATGTAAAGCTAGTGTTTGTACGCAGCCAGTCAAATGTTTCTGAACAGTGAGATTTTTAATGCTTTTTACAGAAGTCTCTTCTGCTCACCAGGCTTGCATTTATTCGATCCAAAGTACAGCAAGAGCAGTAATATTGTGAAATATTTTTACTATTTAAAATAACTGTTTTCTATTTGAATATATTTTAAAATGTCATTTATTTCTGTGATCAAAGCTGAATTTTGTCACATGATCTTCAGAAATCAGTATAATATGCTGATTTGTTGCTCAAGAAACATTTCTGATTATTATCAATGTTGAACACAGCGGAGTAGATTTTTTTTTCAGGTTTCTTTGATGCATAGAAAGTTCAGAAGAACAGCATTTATCTGAAAATAGAAATGTTTTGTAACATTATAAATGTCTTGATCAATATTGTTATAAAGTATAATGTTACAAAAGCTTTTTATTTCAGATAAATGCTGATCTTTCTGTTCATCAGAGAATCCTGCAAAAAAAATGTACACAACTGTTTTAAATATTGATAATAATAATAGTGCTGGGCAACGATTAATCGCGATTAATCGCATTCAAAATAAAAGCTTTTGTTTATATAATATGTGTGTGTAATGTGTATTATGTATATAAATACACATGCATGCATGTATATATTTAAGAAAAAATATTTTATGTTTATATATTAAATATATTTATATAAATGATATGAATATAAATATACATGTAAATATTTTCTAAATATATACTGTATGTGTGTCTCTTTATATATACATAATAAATATACACAGTACACACACGCATATATTATATAAACAAAAACTTTTATTTTGGACGCGATTAATCGTTGCCCAGCACTAAAATAATAATAATAAGAATGTTTCTCGAGCAGCAAATCAGTATGATTTGAGACTGATCATGTGACACTGAAGACTGGCGTAATGATGATAAAAATTCAGCTTTGATCACAGAAATAAATTACAGTTTAACGGATATTCACATAGAAAGCGTTTTTTTAAATAGTAAAAATATTTTACTGTTTTTGCTGTACTTTGGATCAAATGAATGCAGGCTTGGTGAGCAGAAGAGACTGTAAAAAGCATTAAAAATCTTACGGTCCAAAAACCATTTCTATCGCTCTAAGTCTGCTCTATTTCTGTTTGTCAGAAAAAGATTGCTCTGAAATCTCACTCCATTCCCATGGACAGCAGGGAGACACCGACAACAATCAGGTCCAGGATGTTGAAGGAATTACGGCAGAAAGAGCCCTTGTGCAAGAAGGCACCATACGTGGTCATCTGCAGCGGACAAAGAAGCACTGAACCATTCACAGAATCAAAACGCAACAAAACCGCTTGTTAGAATGCACACCGAACCCTCATCCCACCTTCAGCACAATCTCTGCGGTAAAAACCGAAGTGAAGACATAATCAGCGTAGGCCAGGACCTGGAGCACAGCAAGAAAGGTAGCTGTTGAAGGCAACTGTAGGAACAAGTAGATATAGGCAAGTCTAGAGATTGTGTACCTGGTTCCTGAAGGACATCGGGTCGATGGGGTCCTCCGCAGCCAATGAGATACTGCTAAGCAGGATGAAGAGGAGGATGATGTTGGTGAAGGTTGTAGCATTGATGATGCGATGGCAGAGTTTGCGGAACCTGAGCAGAAAGATAAAAAAAACCCTAATAAACAGTGGCTATGTTTCCATCACCCTGTTATTATGTGCACTTTGACACATCACGTGGCCAAATTAAAAAAACAAATCCTTTCATTTTTACGCTCGCTTGAGGTAGTTTTTGATTGGTGCGAAAAACGGTTAATAATTGGAGACGGAAACACATTTTGCGAATAAATTTCTCCATGCGCACCAAAAAAGTAATCAAGTCATCAACCAGTGGACAGATCTCATTGCACAGCATCTGAAATGTTGTTATGGTCATTCTTAAATAAGTCTGTCGTCAAAGTATTCTGTATAACTGCCTCCCAGAACCGTCTTACAAAAAAACCCTAATAAACAGTGGCTATGTTTCCATCACCCTGTTATTATGTGCACTTTGACAAATCACGTGGCCAAATTAAAAAAACAAATCCTTTCATTTTTACGCTCGCTTGAGGTAGTTTTTGATTGGTGCGAAAAACGGTTAATAATCGGAGACGGAAACACATTTTGCGAATAAATTTCTCCATGCGCACCAAAGAAGTCATCAAGTCATCAACCAGTGGACAGATCTCATTGCACAGCATCTGAAATGTTGTTATGGTCATTCTTAAATAAGTCTGTCGTCAAAGTATTCTGTATAACTGCCTCCCAGAACCGTCTTACACGACTGCGTTCCCATCCTCCTGCGAACGCATTTATTGTTTCGTCTGCTCGCTCTGAGGCACAAGTAATTTATTATACATGAAAATGGTTATATTCAGTGGCTTCTCCTACTTTTCTTAGAGATATTTAGTGCCAGTATATCAGGAAGTGACGATTTTGTTCTTTGACTCGTTGGATGGAAATGGTGCTCATTCACAAATGCGACCCTGCAGCACAAAAGCAGTGTTGAGTCGCTGGGGGATATTTGTAGCAATAGCCAACAATACATTGTATGGGTCACAATTATACATTTCTCTTATGCCAGAAATCATTAGGATATTAAGTAAAGATCATGTTCCATGAAGATATTTAGTAAATGTCCTACCGTAAATATATCAAAACCTAATGTTTGATTAGTAATATGCATTGCTAAGAACTTCATTTGAACAACTTTAAAGATGATTTTCTCAATATTTTGATTTTGTTGCACCGTCAGATTCCAGATTTTCAAATAGTTGTATCTCAGCCAAATATTGTCCTATCCTAACAAACCATACATCAATGGAAAGCCTATTTATTTATTTATTCCCTTATGACTGGTTTTGTGGTCCACGGTCACAGATGTTTTATGCAATATTCCATTTGGATCTTTGGATGAAACC